AGCCAAGGAACACTAGCGTGTTCATTGCTAGGAGGTTGTTGACCAAGTGATGGAGTAGGCACAGTTGGCCTCAAAGCAGCACCACCCGAGAGTGGTGCAAGCACCGTGGACAACGTGGCTAATCTCATTTGGACCAAGGCCTCAAGAGAAGCATCATGTTCCTCTTTTTGCTTCGCAAGGGCCCGTTCTAGATCCTCTGACGTAAAGGACTTGACTTCAGAGGAAGCCTCGCCCTTATCCTTAGGATCTACAACTAGGGGAGTCCCATCTGGGTTCATCTCGCTCTAGGGCGGTTAAGCCACAAGAATAGAGCACGAGGCTCTGATACCAATTGAAAAGGATCGAGATGGACCTAGAGGGGGGTGAATAGGTACAATTACAAATTTTAATTATTACTTAGCAATTTTAGGCAATAATGCGGAATATGAAGGTGAGCCTAACAATTGCTAGTAAGTACTAAGTACTAGGCAAGTAACACAAGCATATAAGTAAGCAAGCACAATATGATGTAAGTAAGTGCAAACAAGACAAGTAACCACAAGTAGAGAGTTAGGGTTAGGAATAACCGCAACTCCAGGAGACGAGGATGTATGCCGATGTTCACTTCCTTGGAGGGAAGCTAGTCACCGTTAGAGAGGTGGGTGTTACCACGAAGGCACACCAACGCCACGAAGGCTCACCCTATTCTCCCTTTGAGACAACACCACGAAGGCGTTTCTCAACCACTAGTGGTAGACCTTGGGGTGGTCTCCAAACCCTCACAAACTTATCCGGGGGTAATCACAAAGGTCGATTCCTCTCCGAAATACTCCTACCGCCTAGGAGTCTCCAACCTCCAAGAGTAACAAGATCGATGGGGATTTGCTCAAGACTTGCTCAAATCACGAATTCCTTTGGTGCAAAGAAAGGGAAGAAGTGGATCTATCACTTGATTGGAGAACTTCTCTCAAAATGCTCCTAGAACACTTGGGAATCTAGGATTTAGTGTGGATGAATGAGAGAGAGAGAGTGAGGAGTGTTCTTGTGAGGCTCAAAGTGAATGGTCAACCCCATCCCGTGGGAGGGAAGGGTGTATATATAGGAGGTGGGAAAAAGTGACCGTTTGGGGTACAGGATGGCCGGACGTCCGGAGAACGTCGGACGTCCGGAGGCCCAAATGGGTCCGGACGCCCGACAGTCATCGGACGACCGGCCGCTGTGAAAAGTGTGACCCACAATCCAGTGTACAGGATACGGACGCCCGACCGGAGTCGGACATCCGTACGAATGCTTCTGATGTGAAAGTGTCGGACGTCCGGAGGGTTCCGGACATCCGTAAAAATGTTTCTGTTGTGGAAGTGTCGGAAGTCCGGAGGGTTCCGGACATCCGTAAAAGTGTTTCTGTTGTGGAAGTGTCGGACGTCCGGAAGTGTCCGGACGTCCGGGCAATCAGGAAGGACCGGACGTCCATAGAACACCGGACGTCCGAAAGCAAGGTATATAGATAGCAAGTTTTGAGCAAGATTTTCACAGATCCATCGATCCCCTCTTAATAGTGCGGAATCCCTATACTCAAGAACAAACCATAAATGAAGTCAACATCTTGTATCTCCATTCTTGAGTTATATGCTTTTGTCCCTAGTAATGATCCATGCACACGGTCTTTAGAACATAATCCTGAGATATACTTGATAAACATGATTAGTCCCGAGCATATGTGTTGTCATCAACATCAAAATATGATTAAGGGCATGATTGCTCTTTCAGAGCCGCCGCCAGAGGTGCAAGAATTCAACAATGATGGATGTTGTGTCACCGTGGCGAAGATCCTTGATCCATTGGTCGCTTTTGAGCGCAGCTGCCATCGTCCGATTTTTGCGCCATGAGTGCTTGAATAGGCTTGGGAAAGATTCACTTAGCGGGGAATCATCGAGCCAGGGGCATGTCCAAAACCCTGCATTTTGGCCGTCGCCGATCGAGACCGCTGTTGCTTTGGCGAAGAGCTCTATGTCCAGCTTGTCGCATGGCAATGGGAAGACAGCCCAAGGCCTCACCGGCTGTTGCCAGGATAACCACAGCTAGCGCAGACAAAGAGCAGAACCAAAACATTGCACATCGGGTATCCCTGGCCCGCCCTTCTCCGTCGGAGAGCACACTATGCTCCAAGCCACCTTGCACTTGCTGCCGGTCAGCGCGTCGTCTTGAGCCCACAGGAAACGATGCAGTGCCTTGTCGATCTCTTTCAGGATCTTCTTCGGCACCTTGAGAACTGTCAGTGCAAAAGTAGGCAGCGCCAAGAACACCGCACGCACCAGAACGCGCCGACCTGCCAGAGACATAAGCTTGCCCTTCCATCCCGCGAGACGTGATCTCACTCGATCAATGAGGAATTGGTAGTGGACCAGCCTCATCCTTTTAGGGGATATTGGCAATCCCAAGTATGTTGTGGGGAAGCTAGCGATCGATCCCCCAAAACCCAGTAAAACCTCCGTCAGCAGATCGCCGTCGGAGTTCATCGGGATCACTGAAGATTTGCTTTGATTTAACTTGAGTCCCGTCGCCTCTCCAAAAGAGTGCAGCAGCTCCAACAGGTTGTCAACCTCTTCTTTGATTGGGTTGGCGAAGATTACTGCATCGTCGGCATATAGACTCACCTGCATGCTTGCTCCCCGCCCAGGAAGTGGTGCAAGGAGATCTATTGATGTGGCGGTGTCTATAAGGAGATAAAGAGGATCGATCGCAAGGATGAAGACCAGCGGCGAGAGCGGGTCTCCCTGCCGGAGCCCGCGGGCGTGGAAGAAACTTGGCCCCGGCAATCCGTTCAGCAGACAAGAGGAGGATGCAGTGGAGAGGAGCAGGGCTATCCAATTTCGTCATCGCTGAGAGAACCCCATGCGCTGCAGCAGCTCGATCAGGTATGCCCAGGATACAGAGTCGAAAGCTCGAGCAAAATCTAGCTTGAAGAGCAGGGCCTGCTTTTTTTCTCTATGAAGCATCCTGACACATCCTTGCACATACTGAAAATTGTCATGTATGCATTTTCCTCTCTGAAAAGTCGTTTGTGCTAGTGAGATGATTCCATTCGGCGCAGTGGATAGCGTAATTGTGAGGACCTTGGAGATAAGCTTAGCCATGGAGTGAATCAGACTGATGGGCCTGTAGTGGTTGATCTCTGACACACCACTTTTTCGGCAGGAGGGCAATGAGTGCATAGTTAAGCTTAGCGAAGTTGCTCCCAGCCATCTGATAAAACTTGTCAAAGATAGCCATGACCTCCTCCTTGATAATCGGCCAGCAAGAGCGATAAAACTGCCCTGTGAAACCGTCCAGGCCCGGTGCCTTTTCCATGGGGGAGGCTAGTATCGCCGCCCAAACCTCGGCCATGGTGAACAGGTCGTCAAGCTCCGATGAGGTCACAGCTGGGACGTTTAGCATGTCCGAGTTCAGGGTGCAGCGTCTTTGTTTGCTTCGACCCAGGGCTTCAGAGAAGTGATCGAAGATGAGCTTCTCCTTCTCATGATGATCAACCACCACTCTGTTGCTGCTACTGATTGCATGGATGAAATTCTTTCTTCGGCGCGCTTGCATTTTGGCATGGAAGACCCTCGTGCTGGCATCACCTGCCCGAAGCCAGCTCACCCTGGAGGCCTGACGTTTTCTCGCTCTCTCTATTTCAGCCAGCCCGAGCACTTTTTGTTTCAGAGATCGCCTTATATTTATCTCAGTAGCCGAGAGGGCTCGGTGCTCTTGCGCCATATCAAGCTTTAAGATCACTTCGTTTGCAATGTGCAGCTGTAGCCTAGCCTTGTCAAATGTTGCCTTACTCCAAATCCTAAGATCAGTGGCCACTCTTGCCAATCTTCTCTTCATCCTCGCAAAGGGGCGGTCGTGCGGGACAGGTCGTTGCCAAGCTCTCAAAACTGTTTCATAGAAGTGTGGAAATTTGGGCCAAAAGTTCTCAAATCTGAACCTCCCTTTTCTGATGGGCGTGGATGCCTTTGCCAGGATCAATGGGCAATGGTCGGAGAAACAAGTTGAGGCCGCCATCAGCATGTAGTCTTGATGCAACAAATCCCACGAGTCATTGCGGAAATACTTGTCTATACTGCAGAGTGTTGGTTCCTCCCTTTTGTTGCTCCATGTGAACTTCTGTTCCTGCATTTTAGCTCCTTCAGCCCTGCCCAGCCTAGGCCTCTTCTGAATTTTTCCATCATCCTCATGTTAATGTTGTTATTGCTCTTGTCGCACGCTTGGTCGATCTTGTTGAAGTCCCCGTTGATCAACCAGCGCTCACCCGTCGGCGGAGCAGCGGAAGCAAGCTCGACGAGGAAACCATCTTTCTGCGCGTCGTCCATTGGCCCGTAGACCGTGATGAGCCAGAAAGGCTCACCCGCAAGCAGTGGTTCTACCCTAACCGTGATGGAAAACCCACCTAGATGATGCGAAACTACGTTGAGGATTTGCTTATCCCAGAAGATCGCCACGCCGCCTCTCGTCCCGTGCGCCGGCAGCACCATGCACCCTTGAAGATTTGCGCTGCCTACCTCCGTCGCTACATTGGCTGTCCAAACCTCCACCTTAGTTTCCTGCAACGCTAAAACTGCTACGTGGTTTGCCTGATCAACTTCTCTGATGGTTGTGCGCTTCGTCGGGCAGTTCAAACCCCGTACGTTCCATGGCATGAAGATTGGATCGTTGTCACACATCTAAACACCATGGCATTCTCCGTCGATCACATCTAATGAAGATGATGCACTACACCTTACAACATGCCGGGGGCGACGACGGCCACCAACGGGCACAAAAACCCATCGTCGTCGATCTCGCCACATACCATAACTCAAGCTGTTTTAAGACCAGCTGACGACGGAGACTAATCGAAGACCTAACTAACATGATCAAACATGGAGAGACTCATCGGCGCCGGCGATCCCGGCCATGCCAGCAGCAATCTTGAGTGCAGCTTGATCCAGCCCAGTGAGCTTGGCGATGGCAGCGATGTCTCCGTCAGACAAAGGCTCCTAGAACCGCTTCATGAGCACTGTCGCCACCTTTGGGGTCATCATGTCCTTTGGCCCGAGCGCGCCCAACTCCTGCACCAGGCGAAGCACCGCCCGTTGAGCCACTGGCATCGGGTTTGCTGCTGCACCCTGGCGAGCACTACGGCGAGAAGGTGCCGAGGTGGCCCTGGACTTTGGTGGCGCAGAGGGGCGTGGGCGAGCCGGGCTGATGATGGGCGGGGGGACATGCGCAAACAACTCCGAGCCGCCTCCTTCACTGATCTGGATCGTGCCCACGCGCTTCGTCACCGCTGACAGCTGGAAGCCTGCAGTGGCCACCGTTGGGGAGGTGATGCATGGGAGCAGGCATGGGATCATCTCGGGGCTGTCCATATCTTGCACGGCGGGAGGCTGATGAGGTGGGGAGAGGCCACCATCTTCAAACGCCAGCGGGGTCTGCAGGGCCTCGATCATGGCGTTTTCCATCTCAAGTTGCATGCAGTCCGTGCGCGGCGGAGGGGAGAGCACACGACCGAAGTCGGAGAAGCTGAAGAAGCGAGCAACTGGGTCTTCTGTTGCTGGTGCTGGAGGCGGTGGAGCTTGACGGAGCAGAAGCGGAGGAGTGACTCGCAGCGTGGCTGAGACGGCTGCCCCGTAGGCCCCCACGATGGCCGCGCATTCTTTCGCGTCGCGCCTCCCAACCGAGATGCGGCTGCGGCGGCGGTGCGCCCCGGCAACCACGTCCGCGCTGCTCTCCTTGGCGTGGCATCCGCGCCCGAGCAGCCAGTCCCTCCAGGACCGGCCCTAGCCGCCGCTGCTGTCGCCGTCTTCTTGATCACGCCTTGGAAGCCCGAGGATGGGGCCGCCGCACCCTGCGACCGGTCCGCGCGGTGCAGAGCGACGCCCCGGGCCTTGACCGTCCTCCACATGCGCCACCCACGTTCCTGACTAGATGTGCGGCAGCTGGAGGTCGTCCTCGTCGTAGGAGGAAGAGAGCTCGCTATGCCCCGAGTGCGACGAGCATGGCGAGAGCGGGGTCCAATCCTCCACCAAGTCGACCTGCAAGAGGAGGTCGTTAGCGGTGCGCACCAGGAGGCGGAGGGACGCGGCGGTCGAGCGAAGCGAAGCCGAGCACCTCATCGGTGCGGCCTGCGCCCCGCTTGAGCACCCAGAGCGCGCGCCTCGTCGGGATATGGGCTACATCCCATACCCAGAGCCAGCAGGCGAAAAATTTTGTGTGCCCCCTCTCGAGCGTGCGCGAGTCGAGGCGGTCGATGTCCCCGAGGGCCTCCTCCGCCCCGGCAAGCGACCAGAACTGCATCGGCAGGTCTTTGATGACAACGCGCATATGCAGGTTCTACTTCAGGATCGTCGCGTGGTCGTCCTCATGCCAGGCCTTGACGAAGAACTTGCCGCCGTCCATCTTGAGCACGCCGCGCCGCACCGCGTTGTCGCGATGCGCGGGAAGGTCGAAGTGGACGAGAAAAGCCTCTGGGTGGTGCGCAATGACACGGAGCTGGTGCGGCGGGGTGCAGAATATCAATCCAGATTATCTCGGCGTGGTGTGTGATGCGGATATGTGCGGAGGTTGGCAGAAGGTGCTGCCGCGGCGCGATGTGCAAACACCAAAATAATGTATAGATCATCGAGCAAACAAAGTGCCAGACCTCACCTTAACACGCTGCACGCATGGGTTTGTTTATTGTAACAACAACAAGAAGAGTCAGGTAGACGGTGTCCTGTATGATGCTAATGGCAATGCAGCACCAATAGCTTAGGCGGTCAGGTAGACGGTGTCATGTATGATGCTAATGGCAATGCAGCACCAATAGCTTAGGCGGTCGGGGACGGGGGCGGTGCTTTCAGCCGTAGCAGCGGATGGGGTCGGAGCAGCGCTTCTTGGCGGACTGGCCGCCCTTCTCGAGGTACTGCTGGTGGTAGTCCTCGGCCGGGTAGAACCTCCGCGCCGGGAGGACCTCCGTCACGATCTTCTCCTTCCACTCCCGCTGCTTCTCCGCCAGCGACTCCCGCGCCTGCCGCTCCTGCTCCGCCGTGTAGTAGTAGATGCCCGACCGGTACTGCGTCCCGACGTCGTTGCCCTGACGTGCAACGTGGAATTAATTAGTAGGAGTAGCTTGTAAACGATGTGCGGAGGCCAAATGCTGCTAACATGTACGGTAAAACCATAGCAAACGGGAAGACACTGAAGATTTTTGTAGCTATCTCAGATCAACAACTTGAGGGAACTCTCAGAATTTGTGCATATGGTGAGTAGTACTCCCTCTGTAAACTAATATAAGAGCGTTTAATATCATTTGATCTAACGCTCTTATATTAGTTTACAGAGTTTATGAAAGGAGACAGTAATGCGGACAATGCATCGGAAATCTCAGAGCATAAAAGTGTGTAGTGAATGTTCCTATCTGCCGAGGCAATACAATGATCCATTGTATATCATCACAAGAAATCCCCTTTTGAGATTGAAATCGTCTACTTTATCTTAAAAGCATTTCATTCCGAAGATGTAGAATATCCGCTCCTCTGTATTAACAAGCCAGATATTACACCAATCAATGAGAATGAGTCAACCCCCCAAATCCGTACCAGGTCCATTGAACCTTGCAACACCGGCGACGCGATCGGCGCGGAAAGCCCCCAACGGCCGCCGCCGGTCTGGCCGGCACACTACGCGCTCCAACTTACGGCGAGAGCAGCGGCAGAGGCATCACATGACGTACCTGCTTGTTGAGCGTGGTGGGGTTGTGCTTGGCCCAAAAGACGTCGAGGAGCACGGCGTAGGGGCACTCCTTGGGGTCGTAGTGCACGCGCACGACCTCGGCGTGGCCGGTGCCGCCGCCGCAGACGTCGCGGTAGGTCGGCCCGTCGAGGTGCCCCTGCGAGTAGCCCACCTCCGTGCGCGCCACGCCGGGGAGCCGCTGGTACGCCAGCTCCACGCTCCAGAAGCAGCCCGCCCCGAACTGCGCCAGCTCCAGCCCCTCACCGACCGCCGCGTCGGCGTCCGGGCCCGCCGCGCCGGTGCTCGACATCCTGTTGCCCGTGGTGGAGGGTGGACTTTTCTAGGATCGGCTGATCTCTTGTTAGAGGGGACGGGCGAGCGGTAACCGATCGGGTCTTGAAGTCCAGGTTTTGTAATACAAGGCCTGTCGAATTTTGTTTTCAGGGAAGGGAATATCAGGGGGCGGTAGACGTGCGCGTGTATCCACTTGCGCCGTGAGAAATAAACGGTGCAAATCCGTGGTTCAATGCAGTCCACGATTCCGACCGCATTGTTCACACATTCATGGCTTGGCTTCGTAATTTCAGGTCAATCCTACTAGTACTCCCTCCGTCCAGAAATATTTAATGCAAAAATGAATAAAAATGAATGCATCTAAAACTAAAATGTGATTAGATACAACCATTCCTCCGACAAGTATTTCTGGACGGAGGAAGTATTAAGGTTTCACATGGTTGTGAACATGTATACGGCTGCAGCTCGATGGGAATGAAGATAAGGATGAGAATCTCTACCAAAAAGATCAGAGGGAACGTAAAACTCCATGCTGCTACATAGACATAGTCCTGTATCAAGTTGCGCATCTTAACTAACAATTGGATTCCATATGTAGAGAGATCAAATCGCATTCTGTATCATTTTAGGGCATATACGATGGTGCTATTTTAGAGGTGGCATCTAGGATAAATGTTGACTTGGAGAAGAGAGAAATCAACAGAAAAGGTTTGCCTTCTTTTATTTAAGAGATGATATCTTAGCACAAAATGTCTCACTGCTTTTTAGGAATAGCTACTTACTAAAAATAAGATAAAATATAACCCTTGTAGACATATTTTTATTGTCATCTATATAAATTACATGCAAGGCCTAAGATAAGACTATTATATCAATCATTGTACATGCCCTTAGGGATTAAAATTTTAGTTGGCTACTTCCTTCATTTCTAAATACTCCCTCCGTTCATAAATATAAGTCTTTCTAGATATTTCACTATGGACTACATACGGATGTATATAGACGTAGTTTAAAGTGTAGATTCACTCATTTTGCTCTGTATGTAGTCTTTTATTTAAATCTCTAAAAGAACTTATATTTAGGAACAGAGGGAGTATAAGTCTTTTTAAAGATTCTACTACGGACTACATACGGAGCAAAATTAGTGAATGTACACTCTAAAATATGTCTATATATATCTGTGTGTAGCCCTTATTAAAATCTCTAAAAGGACTTATATTTAGAAACGGAGGAAGTAGGAGAAGTGCCGATGAAGCTGTTCATACATGTGAAAGGCGGCACTAAACCTATAGACTCACATTCAATGTTCTTTACGCAATCCTTAACTATCTGATTGCTCCTATGCAATGTAAAAGGATATGTACCCGCCTGATCATTAGTAGAAGGACCGCAATATGCATCAAACATCAAATTTGAAAGGGCCCTTGAGCGAATGAAAACGTTCACTACACGATACCCCCAGCCCTCGAGCGTGGTCCGCAAACCCTATCCGGCGCCCTTAGCACACGTTACTTTGGTTTTCGCAAATGGGCGCACACATCCCTCTGCACTGGCCAGGCCCATTTACCCTTTTTTTGTTACCGCAAAAGACGCAAACGGGGCACACACCCCTCCACACTGGGCCAGCCCATTTATCCTTTTTTTGTTTAAACTACAAGAAAACTGCAAGCAGGTGTGATTCAAACCAGCGGCCTCCTCAATTAGTGTCAGCTACGGTAGCCAACTACACAACTCCCTTGACGTGATTTGTTACATCCTTTTCCCTATTTTCTTCTTTCTATTTTTTCTTTTTTCTTGTTTCTTTTTTCAACATGGGTGAAGATTTTTTAATCAAAATAAATAAACTTTTTTCATATCTATGATTTGTTTTTTCAAAATCTGGTGAACTTTATACAAATTTGTGAACTTTCTTCGAAAATCCGAGAAGTTTATTTCAAAATCAATGTCTTTTTTTAAAATTTATTTACTTTTTCGACAAAAAATGATGAGCCAAATCCGTGAACCTTTTTCCAAGATCCGATGAACTTTTTTCAAAATCATGGATCTTTTTAATGAAAATCGACGACCTTTTTAAAAATTATGAACTTTCTTTAAATACCGGTTGAACTTTTTTCAAATTCATGAACTTCTTTTTAAAATTGATGATTTTTTAGATTATGTGAACCTTTTTTTTGAAAATCCGTGAATTCTTTTCAAAATCGCTGATCTTTTTTAAAATTCATGAATTCCTTTTCGAAGTTAAGATTTGTATTTTCAAATAATTTATACTAGGACTAAAACAAGGGTCAAATAGCGTTGTTTTTGAATAGAACACATTAAATTAATTGTCGTGCAGTGGTTATTGAAGTCCGTCGATGTTGGCATGCGGGTTCAAGTCTCACGTCTCGCAGAATAATAGCGGTGAATATATTTTTCTCCCTGTTTTTTGAGCATGCTGCTGGTCGCGAGCGATGCTGGGTCGGCCCAC